TAAAATTTACCTTCAATTATTTGCAATGCATTTAAGGGCAGTAAAATGCGTGTAGTCAGAAATTTTTTTTCAAGCACTAGTGTACGTGCGTGTTTATGTGCGTACGTATGCATCGGTGTGATTTGAGACAAAATTTCATTTATATTATAAAGTCAAATATTTTGCGCGTATTTAAAGTAATCGATTTAATTAGAAATACTTGTATTTTATATTTGTATTGAAACAAAAGCAAAGACAAACAAAAGAAAAAATTTATTGTATAAAGTAAATATTTGAATTTAATACTTGAAACAATTGAAACAGCCAACAATAACATTTTCCTACATAAATCATAATTACATAATACAGGCACACGACAGTACATAAATTGTATGCAAGTAATAATATGCTGATATGCATTATTCCAGTAGTCCCTATTAATGGGAATAAATGCACATAAGCGTGATTAGATAGATAAAAATAGAAAGGCAGAAAAAAAAAAAAAAAAAAAAAAAAAAAAACAAGAGAGAAAAAAGAAATTGTAAATTCACGAATGCTAATTAAAACTATCAATTAAAAACATATTTTTGACTTTACGCGCTACACGGATGCTGTATTTCTCAAGTCATTCTTTTGTTATAAAACGCATAAATTTACATATTTCGATAGCGTGTGAAAGTTAGTGTTAGCTCGCAGTGTAGCGTGTGTGTCTATCACGAGAATAATCATACAAAAGTCAGAGTTAGAATAAACTTCAATAATCTTATCTTGTGAAAAATTCAGAGGAAGTATAGTAAAAGTTTGTAATTTAGTATAGAAAGCCCATATCGTTAACAAATACGCTTAGTGTGTCCACACAGGTATTAAATCTTATCAGTCTATTGCGATATATTTAAATAATTTCCTGTTGTTGCTTGGGACAGTCATATTTTTATACAAATTTTCTCATTATGTAAAAAGCCTTCTTTATTATGTATATTATGTGTAATTGTTGTCTGTCTGTACCGGTTAGCGCATATGCATCTATATATTAACGAAAGGGCTGACTTGTCTTGATTTCTTAATTAAATAAATTTGCATTATTAAGCCACTTAAGCTCTTATGCCAATCTAGCTTAAATCTTCATCGAGATATATTGGATTTTTCCAATTTACAGACTTACAATGATAAAACTGCCCAATCTTTCTCCAACTAATTAAAGCTATAAGTTTATTTGAAATTTTTATAACAATAGAAGAACGTTGAATTGCGAGGGCACTTTGGTCGTTAAAGCTTGTCAAATAAAAAGCTTGAACAACAGAACAAAGAAAACCGTTGCTTTCATTATTGCCAGCGCATTAATTTTTAGCCTAATTTACCGCACTTATAAACAAAAAGATACGTCCCACTTATTGTATTTGATTTTGGAAAATCGAGTATGGACATGGTATTTTTTGAAATATAAATAGTTTTTAGCCTGAAAAGTAAATAAAAAGAGAGAAACGATCAAAAACAAAAAACAAAAAACAAAAAACAAATCAAATAAAACTCGGTCAACATTTCCGGAGTTCATGAATATTTGGTGACTCGAAGAACGGAAGTTCACGTAACGGAACAGTCCACTCGGACAATTTTCGTCGTTCGTGGATTCCCTCGTTCGTTATCCAGTCGTTCCTCCTCTATCGCGACGACGATGTTACAAAATCTCGGGGCGTCAAGCATTAATCCGTGCATCGTGCGCCGATATTTCAAGAGCGACGAATCGTCGACCCTCTCGATTCTCTCGCAAGTAAAATTTCGAAAGTAATCTTCGCTTGGCTGGCAGCCCTCTCTCCGCCCTTCCGGGAGCTACGACGCCGAGTCACTCGAAAGTTCGAGCTCCTTCAGCCACGAGATCCCTCCGTCATCCTTAACGCCACTACAACCACCCAATACAAAAGAAGGATCAATATCAACCAGCCGAGACCTTCGCATCTTCTCAAGCCAGGTCGTTCGTTATCGGGCTCGCAATTGTCACGGCCCGCTATAAAGATCATCCTCGTGTCTTGTCTAGCAAGCTGTTCGCACGCTAATAAGCGGAGGCTAACCGATGGCGTGACAATGCCGTCCTCGTCGTAACGGTATAGGGGCGGGGAGGGATTGCAAAGAAAATGAAAAGAGAAAGAAAAAAAGAAAGGAAGGAAGCGGTGTCCTCTCGCGACTCCGTCGTGCCTCCCATTGTCTCGACGGTGCGTTCGAAGCCGTCACCAATTGAGCTAAGTGAATAGTCTCGCGAGGTGGCAGGTGCGCCCGCATCTACCCACTCTTACTTTACCACCGGAGTCACCGGGCCGATACGAGCTCACGGGCGATAAGAGCTCGTCCCTTACGATAAGAGGCTGAATCCGTGTGGCGCCACGTCAGTCGCGAATGTCGAGCCGCAACGACGATGAAAACCGAGGCAAGCATCGTTTATAGGACGAGGCGTGAATCTCGTATGTATTTTTATTGTTTTGGCGGGGAGTGCCGTTGTGGGGGAGATGCCGAGGGGACTCGGCCGAGAGAATTTAACCTAGTTTGGCCCGCGGACGTGTCGCGGACGTGGATTTGAGAGTGATTTGTGGGGTGGTGACCGCCACTTGTCAGGCAGTCATCCCTTTTCGATGACACGCGCGCCGATGATTGCTTTTGACGTCTTGGCGAACTTTTTCTTAAGCTTGTTCTTCAATTTTCGCGCGCTACGCTTATCTATGGTGCGCGTAATTGTTATTGTCGTGTGCAGTTGGCATTCCATCGTAGCGCGAGCAAATATCGCTTATAGGCACGTGAAATTATATTCTCGACGGACTTAGCTCGCAAATGGAAAATTTTTTTTTTTCTTTTTTTTTTTCTTTTTATATCTTTGATATGTTTCATTGGGAATCTCATAGTTTTAAGCGATGACTCGTATAATCTTGCATAATGGGTGAAAAGACTTAAAATAGCAGATTATCGCGAAAAGTGGAAGAATATTAAAAGAACTTTCCACTGTATATGTTTTGGTTATGATTACATGGAATACGTACTGCATCCCTCATTATGATTAAAAACTTTCTATTGTATTACGGATTTCTGACGCATTCGTATAATAATTAACTTCACCCTTTCCTTTTCATTCGTTCACCATTGCTACGAGGCTACGACTGTATTATGTTTTTGGTGAATATTCACCCTCAGTCTGTTAACGGGCCTTTCTCAGGTTTTGTAATCGCACCGCGTGACGTCTTCTTTATGGTTAGTACTTTGTTTTTACGCGATTCTTGCTTTTACGATCCGACTAATCGTAGAATTACAATGTTTGAATAAATTTATAAGAAGCAGCGATGCCTAAATCCTATTGTGCGAGACTTTATTTATGCAGCCATTCGTATACCAATTTATATAAAATTTATAAATGTTTTCCTTTCTTTTTCTTTTAATCCTATCGAATTGCGTTAAAATTTTTTAATTTAAAGGATATATTGAATTAATATCAACGCGAATTGAAACGTTTTATTTTATTAATTAATATTCCTAATGGGCGTCATTTGCGTATTAACACATCATGAGTATTAGTACGGAGGTGAACAAGTATTTACGTTATTCTTAAATAATGAATATAATTGATTGTTTAAAGCAAATAATGTAATATTATTCTTAGTTTTTCAATTGAATTTTATCTCTCTATTTTTTGACAGAGTGACGCCAAATACGCCAAATAATCTTGAGCAACGACTAGCTCCTTTATAAAAGATCATTAAGATCAGATAAATTATGCTATTTGTTAAAAAACGATCACATTTTGATATTTTACGATTGTACTGTTATATGCTCCACTTTATACAGTTGAAATAAAGTTTCGGAGTAATTTTCAAAACTTATTGTTAAAAATTTATGAACTTTTATTATATTTGGCGGCTCAGCGGGTAAAATAGCATACTGATTATATACAGATAAACGTATTATTATTATTATATTACATAGTAATATTATTATGAGGATTATTACAATAATCCATACAATTTAACACGATGTATGGACAAATTATTATTAAAAATGAAAGAGTTTATTAAAGGAGATAAAGTATTTCTTGATGTATTCATAGTGTTAATATTCCGTACATTTGAAGAATTTTCAATTTGATAAGAATGATTTTGAAAAGAACGTTCGACCGAACAAAAACACTAGTTACAAAAGTTCTTAATATGAAATTTGAACTTTTGGTGCGCTTAAAAGAATTTCTGACATTCTTCAAAGCTTATATTTAACAAGTAGAACAAACTTGATTATAGAGACGGACAATCAGTTACAGAAAAAGTGACTTTCCTAACGTCACTCACATGAATTACACCGAAGAAGACAAAGAAGAGGGAAGGATAAGAAGAAGAAAATGAAGAAGGAGAAGAAGAAGAAGAAGAAGAAGAAGAGGAAGAAAAAAATAGCCCGGCAATCTTGAAAATATCCTCGATTATGCAAATGAAATTATCATAAAAATATCGATAATGCTGATTCAACGTAATTCTATTTGATTCTTAAATATGTTTCCAGGGCACAATAGAATTTTGTAATAGATTTTTGCAATAGATTGACGCGTTAAAGCATGTGGATCGGATCCATCGGAATTTCAAATATCCTACGTGAAATTACAGTTATTGAAATTTCCAATTGTTCATGCATTTATATAAATTCACATCGACTCAAATATTACGAGGGGCCACTATTTACTTTTATATATACCATGAATAACAAATTGTTTTATGCGGTGCTAAGTCGAAAAGCATGCCGACTTACCGAAATAGAATATAACGAATCACCTCCCCCAATCCGAGTGCACCGATTAAAATACATCGATTACTCACACTTCTCCAGGCGACCTATCGCTACTACAATTAACAAAGCACATAGGCATTATCGACCAAGCCTAATAAATTTACCAATCGAATCTAATCCAAGTCGAGGCCGAGTTCCCCAGGATGCTCGAAAAATCCACCAGCAGCTCGGAATAAACGAGTCTCGCTAATAAACTTTGTTTCTTGCGGTTGCAGAGGCTGCGGCCGAGGCGACATCCTTGTCGAGGATCGACGAGTCGAGCAGTGGCCAGCAGGAGAGTTGGCGCAACTCTTCGCAGGAGTCGGAGGATGGCGTCCAGCCAACGATCGATCAGGCGCAGCAGACGACACCAGGTAACCTGCACTTCCACCCGCTTCGCTTATAAAGTTTCACTCGGCGTATAATCGCGACTCGGGTTTCGCAACGCGATCTCGGCTTCCCGCACCGCTCGATTTTCTTTTGTGCGCACTGCCCGTATGATGACAGGTTAATCCGGGGCCCGGGACTATTACGCCTATAATACGGCTTTTCCGGCTCGCTTTGGCGCCCATGTCCATCAAAGGGCACATATTCTTCGATCATAAAGCTCCCCGATTCGCGAGCGTAGCCGGGGCTACGTTACGTCGATGAGTCGAGACATTGTCTCGATTCAGGCTATGGTAGCGAGTTTTTCGCGCGATCGAGCGACGTAAGCTAGTACTTACTTGGCCAGTCTTATTCTTCGCACTTTACATCAGGGATATGATTACTCGCCGCTATTTACGTATATTGCGATTCGAGTCCTGTTTAAGGATCTTGGTTCATTCGTGCCTCGCTACGAGACACTTTCCCACCTATACTGCTCAATCATCCCCTCATTTTAACGGAGTTTATCTTCAATAGTTTTTAAACAAAAGCGTCAATCCGGCCCGTATCCGGTATTTTCATGCAAATTATGCGGGTTTGAAATTCTACTCAAACGACCTCTTGATATCTAGTCGAGATTCTCGTTGGCTTTATACTTTGAGGCCTTGGATTTTTGTGCTCTTGCTGTTTTTCGTGATATTTTGTTGGTAGCTTGAGAAGCACGGGCATTTCTTTAGTGGTATTTGTTGGCTTGGAGTACGGTGAATGTAAAAGAATTTTCCATCGAGGCTGGTGCGATTGTAAATCGAGAGGAAATACGAGTAAAGTAAATAAAATGAGTGAGCGCCATTGAACTTACATGAATAATATTGTGCGCGAGCTTATGTTTCTAGTTGGGTCTTCGCATAAATTCATAGAGACAGGAGTAAGTAGATGCAATTTAGCGATGGTATAACTTTAACAATTAAATGCGAACCATACGTACGTAATACTACGTGGCAAATGTTCAAAATTATTTTTATATAAGCAATACCAGTGGCTTATTAGATAAATTGCCCGATTACAATGATAATGTACGCCTTATGTACACCTTATGAGGTAATATTCGTTGGATAAATTCGATTTAATCGAATAATGATTCGATGAAATTGTAATTTCTTATATAATTATGTTGTTTCATGCGTACCTATGCTTTTCAATTATTAAATTACAATCCTTATAACAATTTAAAATTAAAATATACAGTCGTCTTATGTTTGAATATATTTTAATTTTATTTGGTGTCGAACTCGAAACGCGATATGAGCACAAAACTTACAGTAGTTTTGTAATCGATTTTTGATTGCTTATCTATTCTAAATATATATATATATATATATATATATATATATATAAAAATCATTAATATATATATAGAATACAGTTATAATGCCCCACAAACATTATAAATACATGGGTCTGCAAATTTCTGTATTATTTGTGTATTTTGAATGAAATTCGAATGAATATGCGAGCTTTAATATGTAACTTAATTAAATCAATTTGTAATTAGATAATTGGCCGTAGATGTAAACAATATTGAAAATCATATTATGTAAAATATGTATTTTTAATAGGCATTGATAGCGCGATAGCGTAATGTAAGCTTGTGCTCGCACATTTTACAGGAAATATGTGTATTGAAAGATTCCTTTTCGCAGGATAATTCAGTTCTTTAAATACCTAAATACTTCACATAACTCTCAAGTACAAACGATTCTTTTCATTATAGATATAAAACATAGAAGCGAGTAATTTATATACATATCACTCACTATAAATCATGTTTATTTATTTAAAGAGTATCCTTCTATCAAATATTTAAATTACAGTTACTACATTGAGCGTAAAAAAATTATTACAAATCTTTTTCACATCTTTATATTATAAAGATTAAAAGTCAATCTTCGATATTTTCAATCGACAAAATCCCACGACTTAATTGTCAAGCCGGAATCAGTATATATATATATATATTTTTTTTTTTTAAAAGTAAAGTAACCAATGTAAAGTACTTATTCTTTATCCGATTAATAAGTTATTTTTTTTCCTTTCTCTCCTTCTCTCTCTTTGATTAACAAATAATTTAATATTATTAAAAACATCGTCGACGTAAAGTAGATTAATATTGATATATGTAACGATGACGTACGTAAATGAAACTATTCTTGTTGTTGTTATTGTTGTTTATATTTTTTTTTTTTTTTTTTTTTTTTTTTTTTTTTTATCAATTTACAGTCGATAATATAGAGAATGTTAAATTTTAGCTCAAGAGGTATTGTAGTTTGCAGATAATAAGGCACATGATCTTTCGTTTAAAGAATCGTGAATTACGAATAAATTTGAGAATTTTAGAGTTTTTTATTTGGATGAAAATACATCCCCCTCCCCCGCCCCTCCCCACGTTACCTTCGTAATCTTATATCTCTGCACCTTGTTTTTCAGCGAATTAAATGTTTCTCAAATGGTGCGTGCTCGCTCAATGAGTGCCGACTTAAAGCTAATCATAATATAAACGTATTTGTTCTTACGTTTGTTTGTTAGAGGTGCAGCAACGTTATCTCGTGGAAACGATCACGATGACAACTGTTACGGAGCGACGAATCGTTCGTGAGATCAGCGAGGAGGAAACGCGAGGGAGTAACGACGAAGCTGATCACCACGCGACAGCGGAACGACAGTTATCAACCGAGCAACAGAAATCCCTAGAATCGTCGGAAAATCTTAATAAAAATGGCTCGTCTAATAGCGAGACGAGCGTGGCGAAGCCCGACGATGTAATCGACAGAGACAAGACCACCGAGTTTTCCTTAGCCTTTAAATCGAGTAATGTCGCCTCTTTAGTTTCAAATAGCCTTAAGCCAAATTCAGCCGTTAGGCAGCTATTTCCCGATCCGCGTTTCATCTCGCCACCACCGGCGCCGGTTAAAAGCATTTCCTCCGACTTGGACGAGGCCGCTCTAGACGAGGCGGGCGAGAATGAAAAGTTCCTCATCACAACCGAGAGTTTGCGATTGTTCGACGCGGTTAAGCGTTCGAAAATCGCCTCCGGCAGTCGTTCGGACTCGTCCGAAAGCGACTCCTCCATTAAACGTACGATCGAGCGAAATGCCCTGAGGCGCAGTCTTATTTGCAAATACGAGACGAGCGGCTCTCTAAAGAAGAAGAATCTCCGTAGTAAGGATTTGACTCTCGAGGAGCGGATCAGGCAGCTGACATGCGTCGACGAAGACGAAGACACGGCCGACAGTAGCGCCTCGGATAACAACAACGTCGGCCGCATAAGCGCTCGGAATAACAATAACAATAACAATAATGGACCGAATGTAAATGGTATAATAGGTCGGGCGACGGCCGAGGTCAATAGCTTGAACGATCAGAGCGTGACGATGGTCGCCCATCAGCTGCCAGCTCGGACTTCGCCGTCGGGAGAGGAGAGGCCTAAAGGTCACGCGATGCAGTCTCACGTCACCCATCATCACCATCATCAGCATCATGGCAATTCAGCCTACAGGAAGATCACGGACCTCTTTGGACCGAAGAAGAGCAGCTCGGTCCCGCCGGGCGTCGAACTTAGTCTTCCCGACATTGGTCTTGGCACGAAGCATGCGATGTCGATAAAAGGCAATGCTGGAACGAAGCTCAACACCGAGGCCAGGAAGCAGTTTTTGGCGAGTCTGGCTCCGCTATCTTGCGTAGCGTCGAGCGGCGTCGACGGCAGGGACGATTATTACCGAATGCCAGCGAAGACGATGAGCGCCGGGGATAGAAATTCCATATGCTACAATTCTGACTCGTCGTACAGCCTCGAGGACATCGAGGACGCTCTGAACGAGGGGATCCCGGCGCCGCCGGACGTAACGCGAGGGACTCCGACGTCGATCGGACCCGCATCCGTGGACGCATTCGGTGGCGATCCGACCGACGAACTTCAAGCTTTCGTCGAGCAGGACAAGTCGAGAACGGAAAGGCTCAAGAGGCGCTACAACGACTTGGACGAGCAGCAGCGCAACGAGAGCGCGATTAACGATGTGATCAAGAATTCCGTGGCCGGCAGCACGATTAGCAATGCCGAGGACGACGAGGAGGACGACGAGCTTAACGATTACGGTTTCAATAGGCGGCCGTCGGTAAGGGGCATCAAGGCCCAATTTGAGACGACCAACGAGATCGTGAGGCAGTTGCGAACGAGAAGCGCCGCGGCCAATTCTCTACCCGAGGCCTGTCGACTGGGATTCCCGGGGACCGTACACGAGGACGAAGTGTCCGCGAGCTCCGCATGCTCGGGCTCCTCGACCTCCGACCTTTATCGCCTCACCTACACGAATGAGATACAAGCCGATCCCAACACTATCAATCGTATCAATAGCATGCAACGGCAGATAAACGACATTTACCAGAGCATAGCGGACAGTAGCGTCACGGCCCCTCTTCTGGAGCAGCAGAGACCACCGAGCAGCATGCCCACCTTGTACTTTGACGGTAGTTTGCCAAGGTCGGTGGTGCAGGCGACGGACTTGGCCCAATCCGCCACCTGTCATCGGTTCGCCGATCCTAAGAGCGGGGGCCTCCAAGCGGGCACGCTGCTCAATAATCCCACGAGGATGCTGAGGATCGCGGGGGGCGGGGACGGGATCGTCGCGAGCACGGGGACTCCTCTCGGCATTTACAGTACCCTGCCAAAGAGTCACAGACATCCGCAGGTCTCGGCCGCCTACTCGACCGTTTATTCCAGTGGAGTGTTGCCAGCCAATGCCGTGGCCGCCGCTGCCGCCGCCGCTGCCGCCAATTCGGCCGGCGCCAAATGTTACAGGACAATGTATTTCGTTCCTTACAATGGATTGTCCGATCCGACCTATCAGAATATACAAAGGATATTGCCTCCGCATCAATCGCCTACAAATTACGCGGAGCACATCGAGAGATATCCTTACCCCAGGAACGGCAGACTCGACCACCAGCAACAACAACAACAGCAGCAGCAGCAGCAGCAGCAGCAGCAGCAGCAACACCAACAACAGCACCAACAACAACACCAACAGCAACAACAGCAGCAGCTGCAGCAGCTTCAGCCAAGATATTACGTCAGGCCTGCCTCGATACCCGTGAGTATTATTTTATTCCATCTTGATATTTTCTTGATCTTGATCTTGATCGATTTCGTGAAATCAATAGCGTTTCTTGTTAACGATAATACGAGTAAACATCACGGACGATACGCTATTCCATTTGTTCGCTTCTCCTTTTAATTGACGTGAATTTCTCATTCAAGCAAAAATTAAATATCAATATTATCCAAATATTTCTTGTTTTATAAATTCTCTCGACGAACATTATCAGTAATTACTATTATTTCACCCTTTACGACAAAATTTCAATATTTTAACGTATTCGACCCTGATATCCAGCTTCCAATTAATTTCCGGTGTTTGTCACGTTGCTCTCCAATTTCTAACGAAGGCTATTGCACATTCCACACGTGTATTCTCAATTGAAGTACCTACGTGTTAAATTTAACATTTTATGAAAAGTATCCAAGCTGCACACCGAATGCTCGCAACGCCTTCTTCATACCTTCATTCTTTGCGATATTTAAACAATAATTTCTTATAACGAGGTGACAAAGAAAATAATTGAAATGTCATGTGCATTTATGTCAATAAGGGCATGTCAAGGTGAGAGTCAATTAATATCGCTGAACATAATAAAGCGTCGCAAGGTTTATGCATTTTTTATTTGATAAATTGACTGCAAAGCAAAGGTAAGACGCTGAAAATGTATGCGCAAGTACGAGTCAAGTAAATCGTGAGATAAATAAAGTAGGTCTGCGAAACCCTCTCTTTAAACAAGCGAAAGATAATTTTAAGAACCCTTACCTGCTCACTCACTTTCTCTCTCACTCTGTCTCTCTCAGCCGTCCAAGCCCCGCTTATCATTATCGGTATTATTAATTCTATTTTTCACCGGGCACTTGACATTTAAGAATACTCAGGCCACTTCAGCCGCGCTTCACCTTCACCTCCATCAGACGGAGGAGTTCCAAGTGTCGGCGCAAGCAGCGGCCGCCACGGCTGCGGCTCGCTCCCAAACCCTTCCACACGTCTCCGTCGTCCATCCGATCCACGCTCAGCTGCAACAAGTACATCATCATCATCAGCATCAGCATCAGCATCAACAGCAGCAGCAGCAGCAGCAGCAGCAGCAGCAGCAGCAGCAGCAGCAGCAGCAACTTCAGCGTCAACAGCAGCAACAGCAACAGCAACAGCAACAGCAACAGCAGCTACTGGAGGAGCAGAAGCAGCTTGCCTCGACATATAATGTCCAGACGCTATCGGGGGTTACTTATTCCATTTGCCCGCCACCACCGCCGTGTCCGGTCACAGCCACCTACACCTATCAGATGCAGATCCAAGGTATGCGCCTACGAGTTATGCCAAGTATTTTTCATTTGAATTTAGCAGTCGATATCGACAGGACACCCACGCGCCATATATTACGTCTACTATTAGCTGGACTTTGCGAGGAACCGTGATTTTGAATTAACCGCCGAATGTAGGTATTTCGATATATTCGAAATCTTCAAAACGTTGTACAAAGAAAAATGTAGCATCACGTCCAAAGACGTCAATTTCCACTGGATGAGGATTTAAGGATTGCATTGAGCTTATTTAATCAAGCCATGTCGACGGCTATCCTTACTTACGCACACTTCACCGCCTTTTTCACATTTCCTTCAAAAGTCCTTTTTTTTTTTTTAATACAACGCTTTATTATATCCAAACTCTTATTGCGATCTCCCACATTTTATTACAACGACGCGCTTCTTCTAGTCTCTAATCCCTACACGTGGACTTTGTTCGTTTTATCAATGCGTTATCAATTCAACGTTGCACACAATTCAATCCGACAGGACATTTTAGAATGCCTTTTGAGCCGAAGCCATAATCACTTATCACTCATGTCTGTAAATTAATTAATCCAGTTACATTTTTCTATCTCATTATGTTGTTTAACGTTATTCTCCGTCACTGAAGATAAGCCTCAATAAAAAATAAATATACAATAGAATATTTCATTTTAATGTCGTTCTATTCGTAAAAATTCTATTTTAACAATTGCAACAATTGAACAATTGTGTCTTGTATCGTGGCGATCGTTTGTGATTATTATTAGAAACTCTTAATAATTTTTTTTTTAACAAGATAATTGATAAATTATTGAAATTTCATTTTGTATGAATTGCTCGAGTAACGAGAATTTTTTGCTGTTAGATGTAATTTTAATTTCACAACTTTCACGGGCTTATAAACTAATTATTCTCTATTGGTATTCGGCGAATCTATTCGAAGCTTTTATTTAATTGGCAGTGAAAATTCGTAACATCCACATAATAGGCTATTCAATGAAATAATGAGCTACGCATGCGCTTTAAAAATTACCAATCAAGACTTTCCTCGTTAGATTATTCAATGATAAACGTTTTGTATTTGGAGATTTTAGGCATGAAAAATTCAAGAGGCGTATGACATTTATATGATAAAAATTCAAGATTCTTAAAATAGTGGGAAGGGTGTGAAAGGAGGTGGTTGAATCCTTTAAATATGACGATATTTTTAATCTGTGATAGAAAGGCAGGAGATAATTAATGCACGTAAATTATTGAAAGTTTACTTTTATTTTTATTCGAAATTAATCAAAGTCGTAAATTCATTATCGACATTTCAAATTCGAAATACATAATACATACGACCTTTAATATAATTAATATAACATTGATTATTATAAGTCAACCTTTCGAATAAACTAACGTTCATCGACACGCGGAATACGTCATTTAATATAAATGTCATTGCTAATATCTTCTAACTCTGGCAATGATTTTAAATTAAAATTTCAAATTGAAGCAATTGGACTGGAAGAGTCGATGGTTACGCGCATAAATACGTCCGACTATTAACAATAAGCCCCGATATGAGCAGCATATATTGCAAAATTTATGGATAAAATCGAGGAAAGGCATATTTAGATGAGCTCGCAATTTGTCGAAACAGTCTTGACGCGCTAAAATTGCTTGGCGAGTAAACGCTGTTGTTCAATTGCACTTAATCGGCATTTACACGAAGGCTAATCAAACGGTTGCTCATACTTTTAAGATGCGGAGGTTAACAATGGTCTTCGACTTAACTCTTATAAGTTATATTGCTGTATATAAAGCGCGAGGCAATGACCAAGGACAAGGCTTATCTACTCTCTCCATTTGTCAGAGCGCGGCCGAGCGATTTATCGAGAGAGACACGTAGAGCTCATTAGCACTCGGCAGCAATGCAATGCTGCGATATTCTCAATTACGCGAGGACGCAAAGTGCGGCGAAACTTATCATTTACGATATCTCGTCGCTAATTCCCACAGTGCCGTCCCCCGTAATGCCCGTAATCCCGACGACGTGTCACGTCCCCGGCTGATTGTGGTTTTGTCGCGACAGGTCGACTGTCCTCCTCGGACATGCAGACGCAGACGAGCTGCAGCCCAGCCTCGCAGATGACGAGCAGCCTATTGAGTAGCGTTGGCAAGCCGAGCCTGAGCGGCGGTCTCAGCACCAGCAGCTCCTCCCTCCTCTCCTCGCCGACGAAGCTCCCGTCGACGCAGCAGTATCAACAGCAGCATCGAGGCTCGAGCTGCAGCGTCGCCGAGCGCGGGGTGCCCGAGGGCGCTGCCAGTGCTCCGTCCCACGATTACGCCCTCGGCCAGCCACTCGCCTCGACTGCTTTTATCGCCGCGACTCAGCAGCAGCAGCAGCAGCAGCAGCAGCAGCAGCAGCAGCAGCAGCAGCAACAGCAGCATCAGCAACAACAACAACAGCAACAGCAACATCATCATCATCATCATCATCGTCATCAGAGTGCGAGCGTCGAGAACGGCGCCACGGCCATCGTCGAGACCCAGAATCCCGTCTACTACGCGATGAATGTCTGAGAGGAATTCTACTCGCTCCATGGCGAGAAGGAAATCATCAAGTGCGATCTCATGTAACACGAGATTTTGTCGATCTTAAGGCCACTGAGCTTCGGCTCATTTCATAATCGACCGCCGTCGTCGCTTGCACACGCGTTTTATTCTTCCGTTATCGTTATTGCTTTATTCCTGGCTTTTAGCGAACGGGCGATCTCGATGTTTGCCACTTCTCATCAACATTTAGCCTACCGATGCGACAAGTCTGTAAGTAAACATACTTCCGACGTTATTCGAAGTATAAGTATACGCAGCTTCCTGCGTACGGCCTATTTCTATTTGGAGAAGCGGATGTATTGGTGGCTCGAGTAATATACATATTACCTTATGTCGTGGTGTAGTGCAGGATGGGGGGGGGGGGGGGGGTGTCGGGAGACAAGTACATCGGCGAAATTTTTTCCTAGAGTCCATAACGTTTTAACGACAACGATAGAATCTGATACAATGTCGTGTATAAAGTATCGTTTATCTAAAAGACTTGAGAACTTGGATAAGATATTTATTCTTTTATAGTAATAGTAAATCGACAAGTCCCACATTGCCATTTATTTGTTCTCTACTTATTAATATGAAGTTTAGATGCGTGGTTTGAAAAATTTCGCAAAATGTTCGTTATGAATTTTGTTGTTGATTCATAAGTAAAAAGGAAAAAAAAATTGTTTTTTTTTTGTTGTTTTTTATTTTTTTAATTTTTTTTTATTATTCTATAGATTCATATTTATATTTGTTACGTATTAAGAAATCGTGTGGAAATTTTGTAACCTTTAGACTGGGAAATATTCACGCATGTTAATACTTGGAATAGAAAATTGAGGTTTCATTAGAATTACTCATATTATAAATTAAATTTAATCGTATTTTTATAAAATTCTTTTTTGTTAGCTCAATTATTGGTAACATAAGCTTATGAAATATTTTTTCATTAATACTTTATACCTTATTACTGACATTTCAAAATACTCACCTCTCAATGAATTTACATAAAAAATTAAAAAAAAAATAAAAAATAAAATAAAAAAAAAATAAAAACAAAAGAAAATTCATCCAAGTATTCCAAATCATTGATTTTAACACTTGACTTATTTAAAACAAGTTTTAAAACGATTAAATTATCATGCATTTAATTATGATTATTATAGAAAGTAATAATTGCACTAATATTGTAAAATTAGGAAAAATAAATTGTCTTCGATATTTATAAAGTAGCAACATATAAAGAATGTACAACATTTGAGTTTATACACACATTTTCATTCGCTTATTTTAATTCAGAAATAAAACAAAAACAAAAAGTCTTGCAGTATTAAAAAGTAGTATTTTGTAAAAATTAAGGGAATTAAAAATAATAGATCGCTCTGTGTGAATGCTGAAAATAAAATGCAAAAAATGCGAAGGGATAATGATCGAGTATAATAAAGGCCAAAGATGAATCGAAAAATAATATAATATGCGAAATATTTGACAAAAGTAAGAAATGCATAAAAGTTTAATAAATATATACTATATACGAAACTAGAATCGTATAATAAACATATAGGCAGGCGCGCGCAGGCACACAAAATCAGTGGTTGTCAGTTGCAAATTATTGCCAAAAAATGAATAAATTATGATTAAAGGTAAAGTGGATGGAATTGTAACCACAAAGGAAGAGGACTTGATTTTTTAATATCGTGTCTTACTTCTTTGGCCAAAAGGAAAAAGAAAATTAATATAAGATAAACACTATATAAACTCACGATAGTGAGATTTTCTTTGTTATACAACATATTGTAGAGTTGTTTTAACAGTTTTTTAAATAAATATCTTTGTAAAATTCTGATTCTTACAAAGAAGATTTATATAAATTAATGTAAAAGAAAACATAGAGTCTTCGTGCGTTTTCTGTTCAACTATTTAGTATGATTGTGTGTGTGTGTGTGTGTGTGTGTGTGTGTGTGCGCGCGCGCGCGTGCGTGTTTTGTTAAATAGGATAGTAAAATCAAATAATTTCTATAAAATGCGTGGCTACATTTACTTTAATGGTAAAAGTTTGCAAATATTGTAAGCAAGCGTTTATTAATATTTCCAAAAATTTTGAATAACATGAACATTGATAGATCAATTTTCTTAAATTTTTAATAATAAAGTATATAATTCATACGATAACATTACTTTTAGATTAATAAATAAGATACGTAAAACTTAACGTATAATTATTATAAACATGCTTTTTCTATTTAAAATTCGACTGATGTTTTGCAATATGACGACCGTAGTTGCATTTTTTATAATTTTAAAAATAGTTGTAAATGGGATTGAGCGTAGTTAACAATATAACAATAAGCTGCTTAAAGTATAGATAATTTTTCTATCAATGTAACAAATAAATCTGCTGAAATAAATTTGGCGTTGTAAATTTGTGAAGAATTTTGAAGAGACGAACGATTTTAATCCATTGATAAAATTTTGTTTAACGAACGATCATATTACAGAGGTGTGAACCAAAGTTGCGAATTAGTATTAACTAATGTGATATTATTTCGAGGCGTATAATGTAGATTTTTATATTTATTATTTTTCTTGTTCGATTATTTTATATAAAACGCAACGTGTAAATAATTGACAGAGTATATTATAACTTCACTATAAAACGTATTTTACTTACGTTTAAAGTGCAGTCACTAAGATTAATCATCTATAAGTTATAATAATCTATAAGATCATTGTTGTTTAACTTGTATCATTATAAAAATTAATGTATAATTTATTGAAGTAGATGTAGTTATATACGTAGAAAATTAGAACATTTTTTTTCTGTATATAATCATAAGCAGCCCCATAGGGGGTGTAATTTTTTTTGTTTTTTTTTTTGTTTTTTGTTTTTATTTGTTTTTATTTGTTTTTCATTAAAAATGAGGCAAATTTAAGAGGAGGCTGTACTGTAAATAGTGCTATTTATTTATTAATTTACCTTTCAAAAATCTCATTACGCGGCTATTAATTGAAATTTATAAAATATAGTATTATATTAAAATACGAGAATAAGATAATTAAAAAAAATTTTATTATCGCGATAAGCGTATTTCTCATGTTATTAATATGAAAATATTTTGTTATTATACGTTGTAGTTGCTAAAGATTTTATTTTATAATTTTATATAAAGTTTTTTAGTATTTAAATAAATAAATTTTTTTTTTAATCAGTATAGCCTTTTCCATCGAGTGAACAAAAAATAAAGGCCAAAAACTTGGAAAATTTATGCAATATTTGTATGGATCCGAATGTAGATTTGACGTTCACTCGTAATTAATAATCGAAAAAAAGTAAAAGTTATAATGATAATAATGATAATAATGATAATAATGATAATAATAATAATAATAATAATAATAATAACAACAACAACAACAACATCAGCAACATAATAATAAAAATGTTGATGATAAAATGAAGAAAAATACAAGTAACTTGTGTTAGTCGAAAGTGTGAAATTGCGGAAGAAATCCAATTCAATTATCCGCAAAAATGACTGTTGTATAGAAGTGATTGGAGCTTGCTGAATAAAATCATTGAATAAAACGTCATTTGACAGCTTTAGAGATAAATTGAAAGAGTATTATATGAAATCTACAGTCGAGCATATTATAGAGAGTGAGACAAAGAGGAAGAAAAAGCAATCGAGAACGTTACTCGAGACCTTTTGAAACATTGAAGACTGCAATAATTAATTACAACTCTGGCCTATTTAAATAAAAAAAAAAAATATTAGACATTATAAGTATAATATTGAATGAAAAATTCGAAGTATTATTATATACATATAAAACATGTATATGAGTAGATAAGAAAAATGAAATAACTTCAAAAAAAAAAAAACAGACAAAAAAAAAACAAAAACAAAAAAAAACAAGCAGACAAACAAATGGCGCTTTTATCATAATAAAACCGTAAAGATTATAAACAATTTCATGAAATAAAAGGGCATACGAGAGCAGAGGTTGAAACATATATTATACATTACATGAATGTAAAAAAAAAGTGATCATGAATTTTCGAGCAAGTTATTTGCGAATATATCTGTATGCAAATGCATTCATATACATATACATACATACATACATACATACATATATATATATATATATATATATATATATTGAAGGTTGTGCAAGTACAGGCTATTTATTTGTTTTTTGCACTTTTGTTATGCCTAAGTTACCTTCTCATTTGATTAGTAAAAGTACATTCCAAAGATTTTTTTGTCTATTTTTTATTTATATCATTTACCTTTCTTTTACGTACATTTTTATTATAAAGCTTATTATGAATATGCAGGCATTTATACTTATTTCATATTAATTTAAAGGTCTAACTCGAATTGTCGAAAAGTACATAGTTGTTTAAATACCGAAGAGAATGTATTTACACGAAATTGTTACAAGGGGTTAATCTTTTAAAAGTCTGTACAAGATACGTTGAATATTTTCAGTAACATTATGGTTGTGATAACACACAACTCATGAAAATAATCGGCTATAATCACAGTGCACAAACTATTTATATTGAAACTAAGATTCGATAAACAAAATGTTTACGAAGCAATTTTTAGCTAAGTCATTTTTCAAGAATAAAACTTAATTATAACACTGTTTAAAGAAATTAGATATAATAAATAAAAAATGTTTAATACGTTTGAACTTTTAAAAAAATTAGAGAAATTACGAAATAATTCGCTATCGCTAATTATAAATGATAAATGCGTTAGTTGTAAAAATACAGTATTTGGGACCCTTCTAGATATTTTGTAAATGTCTGCGTAAAATGAGTGCGATGAGCTGGCTTTTCCGGTTTCTTAAATAGAATATAAATGCAGCTGAAAGTAATGATGTTAATATTTTTGAAGTTTCTTCTACTTCGCTCACTCTTTCTCTCTCTCTCTCTCACTTCCTCGCCCTTTAAGATATCTTTAAGTAACGAATTATAATTAATTTTACGCTTTCATACAATACGCTCGTAAATATAATTTATGAAATAATTACTTACCTTTTAAGCTTTTATTTTTATTAAATAAAATTATATTAAAAAAAAAAAAAAAAAAAAGAAAAAAAAAAAGTAAAAATAGTAAATTACAGCAGATTACGAGTTAAAATTTTTTTTGTTTTGTTTTTTTTTTTCTTTAATCGAGGAAAAGGAATCATATGGAATGAAACGTGTAAAAAAAGATTTACCATCACAGGCAACAAAAACCCCTAAACTAGGTACAAATGAGTATTCTTATTAACCGTGTAACTTTAGAAATTAAGTGTGATACATTAATATAGTCCTTAGTGAAAAGTTATTACTCCTATTGAATTTCCGATATTGAATACAAACATTATTGTACTCGTCTTAAAAATAACTCGACAGTTAAGATAAAAACATACAGCCCGAGTCTGTACTAATAGGAGCTTAGTATTTTATAACAATTAACATAATACGGCGAGGCAGAGTAGATGAAACGGCATATATCCCTCATATTTTTCAATTCATCCATTTCTTTGATTGTGTACATTTCGTTTTTCTCTTTTGTTTGTTTGTTTGTTTGTTTTTATTTTATTATTATTTTTTTTTTTATTTGACAAAACTATGAAATATTTGGCATTAGTTATTTTTAGAATAAAGAGATTTATTGCTTACAGTTGCTTTTTACTGAAAATATAATAATAATAGAACCATAAGTTATATATTTTCATAATTAACATTATTTAATGCTCATATGTTACAATATTTATACATTTGAAATAAAAGTAAAATACACCTTATGATCGATATAAACTTTTGTTTGAATCATTAATATTAAATTAAATGTAGCAATAATGTTCTTAATAAACAATATTTAAGTGAAAAGTATATAATTATGCTTGTATTTGCCAGTTATTCGATATTATTTTTTATTTTCCTAAATGCTAAAATGAAAATCGAGGAAATAATAATAATTATGCAAAAATGAGGAATTCGAATATCAAATTGTATGGAGGGAAAGGCGTAATGTCAGTCACGAAATGAAAAGAAGCGAAGTTGTTGAATGTCGAATCGGACATTATGTATAAAATGACCCGGTGAGCAAATTCTGTTATAAATTATCGAAGATATTAATATATCGAAAAGGCGAAAAGATAAATAAAATTAAAGTCACACGATTAAAAGTAAGAAGAACTTGGCGATTTTTTATGTTGTAATAGGCACAATTATTATCATTATAAGATCGGGATAGAGTATTTTTTTCTAAATAAAGATTTAATAGGGAAGAGAGGAAATTCCGTTTTCTGCAAAGATATTTGAATCAATAGACGACTGTGTTGACGTGAGAATAAAAAAAAAAAAAAAAAATAAATAAATAAATAAATAAAAAGAAAAGTATTAAAAAGCTTATTCGTTTTTGACAAGCTTGAATTGAGAATAGCAAAAAATGAAGATTTATGTAAAATAATTATTTTATAAGAAACTTGTTAGATGAATATATTTAAAAAAAAAAAAATAATTTCCGACGTGTGAGTTTATTGTATAATCGAGAATAAAGATTAATTGCGTTATTTAATTAAATTTTGATGAAATAGAAAATTTATGCATAAAGGCAGCCGAATAAAATTAATGTATCCGTTGTGTGTAATGCGTCGCCCTTGCAATAATTTCCAAACATATAAGTAAGAGATGAGATTATTTATTGTCTTGTTTTTCAGCATAAGCTTTAAAATAAAATTCTTTTAAAGTAAATTACAATAATATTAATGTCTGTATTGATATTGCGAGGTGAATTTTCATATTATAAACCTAATAATCATTAAACTGCCAACACAACACATTTCATTAGAATTTTACATGTCTAGGGGAATTTGTAAAATTATCGATTAACGTTCAATCATTTAAATATTTCACCCACTTAATGCTCTCAATTATAATTGAATATTAATAATTGCTTTGGCATTGATAACTGGTACATTAAGTTTATAGTGCTCGTCGATTGAAGAGATAACAAGTGCTAAAGAGAAGTAGAAAATTTTCATTAACTAGACAATGATAAAATTTCAGTATTTAAATATTTTATGGCGCGACAGGTGAGTAAATAATATTTTGCAATGAATGTGTCAAGTCTATGAGGAATAAAATAAATAACACACGTATGCTCGTTAAATGCCAATCAATGGATTATTAAACATTTTAAAAATATAGCGAGCAGAGTGAACGAGATAATTAAATAAAACATGTAACAAGATTTAAATACATTTTGCTCAAACTCTTGTAAGCGCAATGTTGAGCAATAAATAAAGAATGAAATGCAATATTGTTTTTCGTATGTGTACATTTTTTTCGAATGGATATAACACGAGGAGGAACACAATTAACAAACTATTGACGATGTGTTTGAATCTGCAATATGATATGCTCATAAAAGAAGAAACATAATCGTTGGGATTTCGTATAATCAGCTGTACTTTTGCGATACTTATGCGATTGTGAAATGCCAAAAAAATTATTAAACGAGACAGACTGTATATATATATATCCATTTGATTGTTAAATAAAATAGTGAATTATTATGTAAATAAAAAGCTTAAATAATACATTGGATATCTATATAATAATCCTAAGTTATTTGTTACAAATGCAATAACACATTATTCATTTAATGAAATTCTTATTTTCATTTTTAAAATATATATATTTAGATACATTTGTTTAAATTTTTATCGGCTTAAAGAACAATTGAGAATATCGAAGCACAAGTTTCTTTAGATTTAATGGTAGCGAATAAAAACATAAATACCAAATAAAATAATGACTGTTAAGAAATATATATGTTTTTATATTGAAATTTTTTTTTTGTTTTTGTTTTTTTTGTTTTGTTTATTTATTTATTTATTTATTTATTTATTTTTGTAAATATTTATCGTAAGAATAAAAACATCCGTTTTTAGTTTTTAAATTAGGCAAAAACTAAAAATAAACAAAGTTTTATTTGTCAAAAATCTACATAAAATTTGTCATTTTAAAAATATAATCACAAAAAATAATGTTCTCATAAATTGTTGATCGTTTTCATATTTGATTTACACATATATTTAAATTAAATATCTTAACTCGCAGTTCAGCTTTAGAGTAAATAAAAATGACGTTATTCTAAAGTGAGAAAAATGCAATTAATTGAAAGAAAAAAAAGAAGAAGAAAAAAAGAATTGAATACAGAAAAAAATACAACTATTCTAATTGGCACCTAAAGTAAAATTAATATAATTTGATTAATTGACGTAGTTTTATAGGTATTTTTTTTGTTTTGTTTTTGTTTTATGTTTTTTTGCTTTTTGTTTTCATAGATTTATTGCTAGCGTCTACAAAATGTATTATACTATATCTAGGCATATAATTAAAAATGATTAAATTAATTAAATAAAACTTCGTTAATTACAATTCCGTTCAATAATGGATGTGATCGTAAAATTTGAAATAAATAGTCGTGTAGTCGATCGGTTATAAAAATGTCTTGAAAATTTTATTACTCGCATAATATCCTTGTTATTTCAGCTTGGGCGTTCATTTAGCTGATATACAGTATTTCGTTAGTGGTAAAGTGAAAATTCGGTGTCGTCTCATTAATCAAAGTTATACGAGTTCGTATATACCGCTCTTACTTGTTGTTCATTCCGTCGTTATATCGTTATATACGCAATTATAATAATATAATTATATAATTCATTTTGTACAAGTGTTTATACAAAAAATATAGAAATCGCCGGAGCCAACGCAAATGTGAGTACGTCGCACACACTGGGCTCCATGAAAAACGCATGCTTGATCATTTTATGTGTACTTGATTTTTTTTTTTCTTTGTTTTTGGCTCGATTTATTATTAAAAAGATTCACATTAGTATATCTTATTATTTAAAAAATGCCTTACGTCTTTATTAAATAAGTGAGAGACTCTCTTCCATCGTTTGCCAGGTATTTTGCAACACACTAATTGTCTCTTTCGTTAAGAGTGGTTGTATATTATTTTTTTCATCCATTTATGCGATCCTACAAAAATTATTATTTATTATCGTTATTAATCGTGGAAAAAATTCTCTACTCCTTCATTTTACTATAATTATAACAAAAACTTACGATACTTTGTAATAGCGCTTAGACACCATGAAGTAATAATCATGACAAATATTGTATGAGCAAATTTTAATTAGTCGTGGATTTAATTTAGCTTAACAAATGATAATTATAGAGCAAATGAGCCGTTAATATTTCATTATTATTGTTTTTACAACCACGTTGTGTGCGTTTAATGTATGCGCTTAATGCATTGGCAGTAATTAATAATTGCTCATACTCGCGCGTGCGCGCGCGCGCTCACGTTCACGCGCACTTAAACACGCAAGCAGGCACGCAAAAACCTCACAAGGCGGCACACTAAATACATCATTTTATATTAAAACTTACAATGCAGTGCTTTTGGGGCCAATTGTTGAAGAATATGCCAAGCATATGCAATGATTCTTCTACAAAAGAATACATCGTCTTCTCCTCACTGGTTCTGGAGGCTCGAGAGCTGCTAAAATCGCTTCGTCAAAGACATTTTTAAGTCCTTTCTGTAAATACACAACGTAGCATTATCGAATATATTAAATACATTTAGAAGTAACATTTATTATTTATTGCATCAAGTTGAATCGAACACAATGATATCATTAATAATTATCTTAATTAATGCGACTCAATTATGACATATTTATTTATTGTAATGTTCGATGATAATAGCATCGCAATGGAAACTTTAAATTCAAATGTTTCCACATTCGAGCTATCTGAACAATTGATAAAGCGTTATTTTCATAAGCTTAAGAAATCACTTTGCTGACCTGTGTTAGTGCGCTGCATTCAACATATTTGACAGCTTTAAGCTCCTTCGCTAACTTTTCTCCCTGCTCTCCTGTGATGGGCTTTTGTTTATTTTTTGCCAGCTTTTCTATAGTCGCTGCATCATCCCTTAAGTCAATTTGCGTGCCAACCAGCAGAAATGGTGTTTTTTGACAATGATGCGTTATTTCTGGTACCCACTGCAAGCCAAATCAGTAGATATTTTTTCTCGTTTAATGTTGCAAATAAGATGGTTCTGATAGTTATTTATTGCGAGCTGCGTGCGTAGCTTACCTTTTCTTTAACATTTTCAAACGACGATGGCGATACTACCGAGAAACAGACTAGAAACACATCTGTTTGAGGATAGCTCAGTGGTCTAAGTCTATCGTAATCCTCTTGACCTATAACAAAGATTTTCAAAGATTTAGTCCGATAATTTTTTTAATAATGCCCTATAAAATATGAAAGTCACTTTATTATTCTTTATATGGGGAGCAAACTATTGACTTTGAACGCAATATCATTGATTAGATTTCCATATATAGATTCGGTAACTTACCAGCGGTATCGAAAAGGCCAAGAGTGTAAGGCTCCCCACCGATCATAACGGTAACGGCATAATTGTCAAAGACCGTTGGTACATATTCGGAGGGAAATTTGTTCGTTGTATACGATATTAACAAGCAGGTTTTACCAACGGCTCCATCTCCTACCACCACGCATTTTATTGTCTGCATGTTGTCAATTTATGCTTCCGTTACCTATAAATTAAAAAGAATACTTCCAATTTGTATGAGGATAGTTTAAGCTGATAAAGCATCTTTCTTTAATTTTCCTTATCGAGTATCAGTGAAAATAATCTGTTAATTTGGCTTTCTCAATATTTAAGACTTATCTATCATTTATGTTTAGTAAAGTTAAAAATACATAAAAAAATTTCACTTGGTAAGATTAGGGATATTATAAAAGAAATTGGCAAATAATTTGTCCATTCGATAACCCCATAGATTATCAATTGAATAATATTAATGAACAATTACGGGGAGAGTCAAAAACTTTCCACAGCTTAGATAACGTCAAAATTTATTTAAGCACACAATGTATTAATCAACAAATCAACAATGTAACGAACGATTCTATTAATTGCTTGAACTTTATACAGTTTAAGAGACAATTGGGATGAATAAAATATTTTATCACATTGACTGTTTCGACTGCACGAGGAAAGACCCAAAAATCACAATGGAATCCTATAAAATGTACAAACTACAAATTAGTAAGAGGGCTGGTGTTGCATTCGCAATTCTAATAGATATTTCGAAGAAGTTTGTATGTATAATAAAGTATCTTAAAATAACGAAGATGCAAAGACGATAATACGAGGCTGAGCCGTCTTTATAATAAACCAAAACAACATCGCCAGAGTAGTTTGGTAAACCTAACTTGGTCGTCACAAGGAGCTCCCCTCGATAAATCGAAGAAGAAGACGAAGTAGAAGTAGAAGTAGAAGTAGAAGTAGAAGTAGTAGAAGAAGAAGAAGAAGAAGAAGTAGAAGAAGAAGAAGAAGCAGCAGCAGAAGGAGTAGCGCGAGCAACGAGCAAAGAAGAGTCGGGATGATGACGAGTACGTAAGACACGGATTCCCAAGGGAGGCGGCAGCGGCCGGTTTCGCTCGTGGCCCAACGAATTCCAGTGGACCTTAGTCAGCCGTAGAGCCCGATGGGTCAGAGTCGAGGCCGTGATATGATAAAAACGGCCAAATGCACGTCCGTCCTCCGTCGCCCTCCTTTCCTTTTCTCATCTCCGGCCGACTTGGAAGGAAAGGGAAACCGTGTGCGCGACTCGACGAATGGTGCGCGGCTCGCTCGGCGGCCAAAGGAGCTCCTCCATCCCGACAAGTTGCACAAGCCTCCGTGTGTATAACGGCAAATCGCATATGCACGTCACAGGAGGCACGATATGCACCTGGAACGGCGGCTACGTCGATCGACCGTGAAAGAGAAGGGGCGCGGGGGTGTGGGAGGTGCTGGTGCTGGTGGCGGGGACGAGGACGGGAACGGGAACGGGGGCGGGACGGCGCCGCGAGTCGTTTTTCCCGTAGAGGCCATTTTGCGTTAGGAGGATGAGGATGAGGACGAGGACGAGGACGAGGACGAGGACGAGGACGAGGACGGATACGGGTACGGGTATGGGTACGGATATGGGTATGGGTATGGGTACGAGTAGGGATATGGGCACGGGTACGGGTACGGGTACGAGTACGGGTACGGGTACGGGTACGGGTACGGGTACGGGTACGGGTATGGGTATGGGTATGGGTATGGGTGTGGGTATAGGTAGGGGTAGGGCTATGGGTAGGGGTAGGGGTACGGGTAACGATAGGGGTAAGAATACGGGTAAGGGTACGGGAATGAGAATGAGGACGGGGACGGAGACGGGAACGAGGTTGGTGGTGATGACGAGGATGAAGATGAGGACGATGTACGTATGTATAAACGTACGCCGCAGAAGGTCGCGACTTATCGGCGGCGAGGGGAAGGCCGTGAAGGCGTCGGACGACCCCGGTGCATTTACCGGTACGTCCTGATCTCGTTCGACGGCAACGAAGCGGTGGTGGTGAGCTACGGAGGCCAGGTATGTGTCCTCTCTCTCTCTCTCTCTCTCTCTTTCTCTTTTTCTTCTACGACTGCAGGCGATCACACACACGCGACACGGGCGACTGGACTATGGGCGTCGACACAAACACTTCGGAGCCTCTGCGTGACTGCGTGCCTCCGCGACGGACAGGCGCAGCACGCGCGCGCACGCACACACACGCGCGCACGCACGAAAAAAAAAAGGCGACAGCGGTAGTGGCGACGGTTGTGGTGGCGGCAACAGCAACGGTAGCGGCAGCGGCAGCGGCAGCAACAGCAACAGCAGCAGCAGCAGCAGCAGCAGCAGCAGCAGCAGCAACACCAGCAGCAACAGCAGCTACTGGAGGAGCAGAAGCAGCAGTAGGAAGGAGGGCAACGGTAGCGGCCGAACGCGATACTCGATATGTGGTGCGGAGGTCGCTCGACGGTTCGTCGGCTCGACTTACCGATCGGAGTCGAGATGTCGTGCTCGCGGACGCCACCTTACGGCCGAGGCTGCGTACCCATGACGTTTAAAAATGCAATAGTAGTGGCGATTAAGACAGAAAAAGAAAAAAGAAAATAAATGAAAAAAATAAATAAAAAAAATAAATACAGATAGAATGCGGTGGCTAGCGGCGATTTGTTTTCCTTTTGCCTTTCGGTCGACGGCGATTGTTCGACGGGGGAGTTGGCGGGACGTTGCGTTGCGGCTATGGAGGAGCGTTTAAATGCCGTGGATTAATGGATGCGGTCGGGTCGCACTTGCTGTCGTCGTGTGTCCGGGCGTCCGGGGCAGATGCCAATTACGGGGAATTCGTAATGAAAGAGACCGAGTGGCTTTAATTCGAGGAAGCTGACTCGTGTTACGAAGCCTGCTCGGCTAAACGGCGACTCGGTCTATTGTATTATAGATTGTAGAATGGCTTTTGAGGTTGAATTATTATATTATGATATTAGGTGGACGTTCGATGGCTCGCTCGATGAATTATCGGATTATTTGTCGTGAAGGTAGTGCAGTCGAGGCAGTGAGGCAGTGGCCACGGCTGTGGCTATCGTTTATCCGTCTTTGGAATAAAAAAAGAAGGCGTTGTTGCACGTAGCAGCCATGAATATTGTATAAGCGTCGGGGAATGTTGTGCAAACGCTCGTATTAGCATAAATTAATTTCTATAATGAAATTGCTACTTAAACGCCTGTTTCATCGATCCATAGCCCCTACTGTTCCTTTCCAAAGAGCATATTATACGCGATGTATAATACCTAGGTTTAAGGTCGTATTTGTTAAAAATTTTGGTCGCTTCGTTAAACAACGATAGCAGCTTACCGAGTCAATTTATTAATTGAATTCTCATATTTTTCATCCGATCATGCATAATAATTAAATTAAACGCATTCGATACTATCGTCCGTTATTAATAATAAGACAGGATTTAATCCAACGAATTAATCTTCATTTAAATTAATTCTTCACAATTGATAATCATAAATTCAATTAAAATGCAACTTGCCTACGCACACGTAACTCTTAGTTATAATACATTCGATATACTTTTTTAATTACGATAGAATCTATTTCCTTATTGGAGTTTTTTTTTTTTTTAACCGAGGATAATTGCTTCTATCGTTGCATACAATACGTCATATTCAATTTGGAAAAGTATTTGTAACAATCACATGGGAAGCGAATGTATTATTTAAAAATGTTAATTTAAAAGATGCGATATTACGATATTTTTGATGCAATATTTTAAAATCACGAACGCACATAATTAATTAAAATGCTTATAATGGTGTTCCTATGGTTTGTTTATCATTTACATTGATTCAATAATAAATAATAATGGCTCTTTGATTTGTGAAAATTTAATTCTGTAGTAATGTTAATATATCGTGTTATTGTAGGAAATATTATTAGTTATAAAGTAATCTTCCTTTTAAATTTTTTTTAATTTCAATTTTTATAAATATTATTTGATCTTAACAATTGGCTATATTGTCAAAGTAAATAAATACATTTTTTTGATCTTACGAGAATCTCTGCTTTTCATAAAAAAAATTTTTTAATTTAATTTGAATAGTCTAATTGATCGAATTGATGCAATATTTATTACGATAGCGAATTAAGTAAATTAAATTGCATTATCAGTGAAAATGAACTTATAATTTATATAAGCAGTTAATAAGTATTTAATAAGTAATATAATTTATATGTGTAATCAATAAATACAAAATAATTACATTTAATTCTATATCTTTTAGTAGGTCATTTACAATGTCTTATTGCTATAATAAAAAATCATTATTTATTTAATTTACATTTTAATATACACGAATTTGATTTTTTATTTTAGTTATTATTCTTTTTACAAAATTATTTTTTATGCACTTTTTTTTTTGTTTTATTTTGCTTCACAATACAAAAACTATTGTAATTATTTTAATGTATAATTAAAAGATAATATAAAATTCATATCACGTTATTTAAATTTCCTCTACTCAACGATCGCAAAAAACAATTATGGAACAGTATGTACATCCTTATTTTCGATGTATAAAGTATAAAATTGATAAATGTATTGTAAGGAATTATTTTATGCCGAGACAGCACATCGAAAACCAAGATTTCCTGCCGAGGTGTCTGGTGTATTTTGACTTCTTGCGGCACAGCGATATCTATAGCAGTAACTTTTATGGCACAGATAAGATCCACCTTTCTTTACCTTATCTGATCCACTTGGAGCTCCAGTCTAAAATGTAAGAATATTTCATAAGAATTTGATAAGAATTCAAAAGAAATTTGTATATCAAAACCTACAGGATTAATTTGTTTTTCGCTCGTGTGGTCAGTCATCCACCAATCTGAAGTCCATTCCCATACGTTTCCCACAATGTTATATACACCATAGTCATTGGGTGGAAAATGCGTTACTGGATTTGTTCCTATAAATCCATCTTCCGCTGTATTATTTACAGGGAATTCACCCTGCCATATGTTTGTTCTATAATATCAATGAGTAAAATAAGGCCCTAAATTTTTAAAATGCTTTTATAATATTTTCTTATACTTAATTTTTCTATTAATACTAATCGACTATCGATTACATTGACATAAACCATTGTACCTATGTTCGTTATTAGGTAATAGCTTATTTCCCCAAGGAAATAGTCTATCGTTAAGGCCACCCCTACAAGTAACTTCCCATTCAGCTTCGGTTGGTAGTCTTTTGCCAAGCCATTTGCAATATGCCATTGCGTCATTCCACGAAACATGAACTACAGCATGGTCCATTCTATCTACAACCATATTAGGACATAAAATTATGCTAATTGCAGATTGATATACGTAAGAGATAAAATTAAATTATGCCAATTAATAATGGGCAACCTGAAATATTCGAATCCGATCCTTCGGGTCTATTCCATGCAGCTTGTTTAACGGGAAGCCACCAAGGAGCTTGCGCAACCACTTCTTTTATTTCATTTTTAACCGTATCACTGAGGAGACCTTCGAATACAAAAGAGTCTCCAAATTTTTCTGCTTCGGTTTTGTGCTCCGTAGCCTTTACAAACTTACTGAAATCTGCATTACTTACTTCATATTTATCTATATAAAAGCTGTTGAGTTCTACTTCCCTCCGAGGCCCTTCCCCATCGGCAACAAAAAAAGGGGCATTCGTACCAATAAAGTAAGAGCCTCCCTTTATTTCAACCATTTTTGCAGTCAAGTCAGTTTTATAAATTGGCTTAAAAAGTTCGTCATCAAGGATATCTTCATTGTCTACAGGGCAAGAACTTTCCTCGAGGCGTTGTCTGTTCAAATTTTTACCACAGCCACAGTCCTTTTCCTCACTAGCGTTTGCAAATATCACAAATACATAAAGCAAACAAATGCATTCACTTATTTTCAATGGAAATGTCAATACTTCGATCATTGTTATATATATATATATATATATATATATATATATATATATATATATATATATATATGAAAGTTGTTGTTATTAATAATACGAAACTGTCCCCTATATTATTCTTTTTATTACTTAAGAAACTAATAAGAAATACAAAAATTGAGAATCCTACGACGACGAGTTTATCACGTTGGTGTGCCACTTGACAGGCACATCGAAGCGAACATTATAATTATCAAATTATCACGCCGCAATGCGTCAAGTGTCCTGTACATTTGTATGCGACAAAAAAAATCATGGAAGTCGGTTTTTATAGGTTAAATAACGTCGAACCAAGTGATTGTTTACTCTGTGTCGTATTTGAGATTGGTGAAAGGCGCGAAAGTAGAGCGCTAAGGTCGATTTCGTTTTGCGCAAATTTTAATTGACTCGGCATAAATATGTTTTAAAATAAGGATTATTGTCGGAAGAGATATAGTTATTGCGTAAGCCTACGTTAAATGATGTAATTCAAAGTGAATTTTTTCTCTCCTTTTTATCGTTTTTTTTTTTTTATTCCGTTTCTTTTTAAATAACTATTATCTTAGCGTAAATTGTTAACGAGTATAGTTTTAGTATAGTAATTGTTACGGTGGCGTGATGTAGGTAAGAATAAATTTAAAGTAATAACGATATATTTATATACAAGTGAAACTATTTACATGCATTTTATGAAATTTTAATTTAACATAAACAACGGTATTGCATAAGCGAATAATATATAGATATTCACAATAAACAATATATTTTGAGAGTGCACGGTTGTTGTTCGATGGACAACCTTTCTTCGCAGAAAAAATACATATTCAATTGTTCACGATATAAGCATTACGTAAAGTATAAGTATACAATTATCAAATCAACGTACTTGAGTTATTTTCAAAATACGATAATTGGATTCGCGGTAAAATCTGACGATTTTTTAAAATATTAATAATAAGTCGCTTCTCTTCGCTAAGCTTGTCATAACGGCATACGTCGTGTTTAATGAGCAAATAATTACAAAATAACTTCGGCAAACGAACTTTACATTTTGTCATAGTCTACCGCCACGATAATAGATAATAAGTCATTTCATTCATAACTTTTGATTAACAATACTATTTTTATATAAAAACGACTACATTCTAAAGTAAATTTACATATTGATATGAAAATTAAGTATTTTATCCGAGCTCAGTTCAGCATTTAAGAGTATTAAATTAACAGTATCGTATAGGATTGTAATTGTTACATATTTATCTTAAGGTGAAATTTTACAGTCCATTAGTTTGTTTAACAGTAAGATTTTTTTAAATACATATTTAATGCAAAAGTGTCTGATTAAACGTATTGACGTTTGGTTTAGCTAATTCAATAATGTTTCCCAAAATTAAGTCCTTTTAATAATATTACAATCTTTTATCAAGTATAATTTTCGCAAGCTGTTTGCATATACGTTGTATTTAATAACAAAATTAATTGTTGAATAAATACGAAAATTTCACAGAAATTTATTTATAATCAGAATGAAATATGAATTTGTTTGAATTTCGACTCTTCGGTCACGATTACACTCACATACGAAACATCTTCGATAGGTACAAATATTATAAATTAACATTATTAATTTTTTAACGAATAAATCAAAAATCAATTATGTACACAGCTACTCACTTACATTTAAAATTAATTATTAATTAATGTTATCGATGATTGGTTTGTTGTTATTTTTTTATTTTTTTTTAATTTTTTTTTTATCGTCTATAGAATACTTTTTTTTTCTATTATATAAAAATAATTTATAAGTTTTAAACTACCACAAGAGATTTTCAGCTTAATATGGATTATGAGAGAAAAAACTTTTGATCTTAAATATCGTCGATTATAGTTTCAAACATTCGATGTATTAATGAGCAAATAACATAATTAATATTTTCCTGCGCGAATAACTTGTTATTATTCTTAGCTTTCGAATCTACAGTGACAAATGAATTATCACGCGATCCGTGACTGTCGGCCATTCCTTATTCATTCACATAAATTGAAAAATTCAAAAATTCTTCCAACGCAATAGCTGGTCTTATTGCCAATAAACCAAGCTCGCAATAATCTTCCACGATAGTTCTCATTTAATATAATGAAAATGTACAACAGCAGCTTCTCTTCGTCCTTGCGCAACAATATAATCCATTAGTGAGGACAAGTGGGACGATTGACGACGAAGAAGACGTTGAGCTCGATCAGGGAGGCCAATATAAGAAAGATGGAGTAGATGCTGAGGCAGATGATGCCGACTTTACGGTCCAATTTGAAGCGGTTGAGGGCGAGGACGCCGTAGAGGATCAACAGGGTCGACATGAGGGATACCGAGCTGTAGATTAGGCCCTCGGAGTTGATTTTAACGAAATGCTGATCGGAGACGGAGGGGTAGAAGGCGGCCTTGACGAACCAGGGCAGACCGAGACAAAGCAGCACATCGAATACATTCGAGCCGATGGAGTTGCTGATTCCCATAGTACCATGACCTGCGGACAACGTTGCAGGTGGAAGTTAGCTTTTTGCGAACAATCGGATTATTCTAGTTACTTCACGCAACCGGAGTTTTTTGTATCATTACTATTTCTTAGCCATACTTACTGCTAGCGAAAAAAGTACTTGAATTTCTGTAATGGCAAATTTCGATCCAATAATATGCTATGGAATATTCATGTATGGCTTATGAGAACGCAAATATAATTCTTTCAATGCTAATCAAAGGTATTCTAATAATTTATTAATAATTTATGAATATCAATCGATAGACATTGAAAATTAACCGTAGTATTATTATCGGTAAACGAGCTTCTTGTTAATATTTATTATTCGTTAATCGTGACTATGAATAAATAGTAATAAATATGCTAATTGGGCGTAAATCGTTACACTTGATACTAGCAAAACGGCACGAGTCTATAGATGAGATAGAAATATTTTACAAGAGTAATAAGGATGAATTTAAAAGCTTTCAGTACGATGAGCTTCGTGTTTGCTATCATTTGTTAAATAAAGTATTTGAATGAATCTCCTTCGGAAAGTTTGATTATGTTTATAAGTACGGTACGATCGATTTTTCCAAGCTTCAACGCTAAGAGAAATGTAATGTACTGTTAATTAAAGCAGCAATGAAATTAAAGTGAAAATAATGAATCTGAAGGCGATAGATATACTGACTTTATGAATGCCAAAGCAATCGATGATATTGATTCGATACTTTTCTTCGACCATAGAGAAAATTTTCTATTTTTCTTTATATGCTAGAGTATGCTAGAGATTTATGGAAGTAATTTTAAAGAAAGAGAACTATATTATTGTTTGGCTTCATAATAATTAATCAAATTAATCTATATCAATCGTTTTGTCTTGTGGTTTTTACTTACTTAATCGAATGATTTATACATTAAATTGATTTATAAACAATTACAAATATCATAATTCTAACAATGCTTCGATTACCGGCCAATATCATTCATCATTTACATAATTATTTGTAATTATTAAGTACAATAAAATTATTAATAATTAATTATTTAAATTCTTTTATTTTTTCTATAAGAATGGCGTTTTACTGGCATTCTTGATGTTATTGATATTACTGATACTTTCATTAAATTCATTAGTAAAACAAAACATAAATAATTAATTATCTTACCTTGATTCGTAACAATTACGCTTGAAACTCCTTCCGGTACGCTCATTCCAGCAGCAAGAAAAGTTAATCCCATTACAGAGTCGGGGATAGTTAAAGTGTCACCTATGGATAAATAAGATTATAGGACGAACGGAATTTGTTAAGTTTTTCACATATTTTTATAGATAAATAACTTTAAAAATATCATTAAAAAAACGTGTATGTACTATGTCGGAGAATAATGAACTTTTACAATCTCCTGATGTTATGTGTCTAATCAATGAATTTGAGCAGTAAAGGTGTATATAATTACCAATAACTGTAATGTTCCAGCCAACCAAATACGACATGACAGCTATCCAAACAATACACATAAGAAAGGTTAAAGGGTACCATTTTCTTAGTACCGGACGTCTACAATCGGGAATTGTAATCAGAAGGATCGCATTGATGGGCCACGTGAGGATCCACCAGCATCTTTCGAAACCATTATTTGGCCAACTCGTCATATTAACGATTTCCACTAAAATTAATATTCCATAAGACAAATTTCAATTATCGTAATTGTTATATTTTTAAAGTTTTCCTCTGTCTTTATTCTTTTTTTTTTTTTTTTTTTTTTTTTTTTTTTTTTATTTTTTATTATTATTATAAACTTACCGAAATCCGAGCTCTCTTCAAAATTTTCGACATTCACTATTTTACTGCAATTTTCTGGCAAAATATTAATATAAATTATGAAATGCAATTTTCAATGGCGATGTTATTTCTTAAAAATTATTCGCTAATAGTTTAAAGCAAATATTATATTATTGATAATATAAGCAAGCGCATAAGAGTATTGAATGGTGAAAGATCGCTAACCAGTTTCGTAAAGCATATCTTTGACTTTGGTATTCGTGAAAAAGTTATTGTTCGACTTAGATTGAATGAATGAATTGTGGAATTTGTCCTTTCCTATGAGTGGACAATCCTCATTGAGGTTCTTATATTTCCTTCGCCGCTTCGAGCTAAAGATACTCAGGCAACTGATTATACGTGTATTGAAGAACATAGCTGAAAACGATAATAATGGTAATATCATGAGTTATTGTCCATGCGAGTTATTTCTTGTAATAGTCTAACTTCATTTCCTTTTTCTATTGCATAAAGGAGGAAAGATAAGGCGATAAGGTGAGTATTCTGTTTAGTCAATGGATTCGTGCAGATTAAATTATGTTCCATAATGTTTAATGGCTTGTAGCGTAATAAATCAGTTATTCCTCACTTAACATTAGACATGTGGGATTTTGAGAAGATTAGTTAAATAGACGATACCGTTAAAAATGTCAACAATTTAAAATCGAAGTCCAAATTAATTAATTAATTAAGTTTCAATCGGCATCAATTCTGGCATTATCAGAACGAATCAAGTTTATAGTTAAATTAATTTTCGTTGTTTTGTTTTTCGAGATAATATTACATACCCAATATATACAATATATAGGTTACAACGAGTAGGAATGCTTCATACCACTCGATACGACCATCATATAACGTGAAAATAAGAAGAAGAACAGTTACTCCATAGGCCAAGGAATCTCGACTTACGGGCCACCAATCCAAAGATAATGCCTATAAATATCAATATATTCTTTTATTATTATTGCCTGTATTATTATTATTATTATTTAATATGTTAAAAAGTTATTTGTGTTTTAAGTCTCTTTGCTAAGCAGATGACTATGATTATCTAATTATTTCTATTATTTTGATAATTTGGATTAAAATTAGATTAAAATTCAATCAGAATGTCGTTTGAGACTTACACTCTAGTATAATTCATTATTTGAAAGTTAATTTCTTTCATGTTTTACAGGAAAATTACCATATACAAATATTATACGCACGCACTGGTGTTTATTAGAATAAAGTTTCGTTTGTATTATTTTATTACATTTTTTTTTTATTTTTTATTTTTTTTTAATTTTTACTCGAGAAAACTTAGATCATAATGAATGTTCAGATCACAATATAAAATTATCATAATAAATTGTCGTGGCAAAATCATTAAATGTATTATGACACTTTTATTATTGTCTTTAAATATTTAAATTACCTGTTCAATTATTTTTTATTGTAGAAAATTACATGAAATATTGCGGAAATGGAAGGTTAAAATGTTTGAAGCAAAAAAGAAGAAGAAACAACAACGATGAGGAAACAACGATGAAGAGAAAGAGGAATAAGAGAATGGAGAAATTTTTAGGATACATTTACCGTTAATAATTAAATAAATAAATATAATCGCAGTGAACTCGAGCGATTAATATAATCTACGTATAGAATGATTTTTAAAGTATCAAACAATTTCAATTGCTAATAAAAATATTAAATAAAACATAAAAACATTATCGAATATAATAATGGACTTTAATCTTTTATTTTATAATTTTTTTTTACTTTTTATTTATATATTCAGAATTCTATCCATTACGTTACTGATACGTCATTATTATCGATTATTTCAAACGCTTCTCAAATAAAAGCGTCATTATTATTATTATAAAAAATTTACAGCCAATTATCTTGGCATTAGAGATTTCAAAAGGTAATAATTAAGCTTTCAACGAAGCTCAATATTAACGCCTGATTGTTTGTTAATTCGCATACGAGGTTGCACTTTTCATTTCCCTTCCAATACCAGACTCATCAAAATAGCGATCAATGTAAAAAGTCTCAATTAATACACAGGGGTACGTACGCGCTTCTACACACGCGAGCGGATGATATTTTCGTTTGAGCTTTCAAAGGGAACAAAAAAGGGAGAAGTACATACTTGGCTGGCGAAGAGGCCGCATAAAGCCGGCACCGCGAGTATATTGAATACAGCGGAGCCGACGATAGTGCCGACTCCCAGGTCGCCCTCGGTAACGAAGGTCCCGACGATGTTGATGAAGAGCTCGGGGCTCGAGGAGGCCGCGGCCATGAAAGTGGCGCCTGCCACGTCCTTCGACACGCCGATTCCTGTCGAATGAATACAATTTTTATCTCTTTTCCATTGGGTTCCGTCGCTTTTCGTAGCGGCAACATCGTTGATTTCGCTAAAAAATTTCGCTCGGGCAATAAATACATTGTTAAAGGACTAAATCAATATTGCTGCAATGATTATTAATTTATTATTCAACGCAAAGAAAAATGCGACTAATGGGATTTTGTTTTTACCATTTATCTAGGTAAGTTGTACTCCGTGCCGTTTAAGTTCTAAAATCTATATATTCTTTCACATATACATAAATTTTAATAGTACAAGGATTCGGATTAACAATCGCTCGATTGCATTTCAAATTCCTATGAATAATAAATATATCAAATATATGTAAAGGCAAAATAATATGAAAAAATGTACTAAAAATTCCCCTCTTTTGATTAGGTGAAATAATTTTATTTACAATTCTTTAAGCTATTTGAATTATAAATTATAAATTATAGGAAGATAAGAAGCATCTACAGCATATTGCCTTAAGTCAGATTTAATTACTCTTGTTGATTAATTTTGATTTTATATATATATATATATATTTTTTTTTTGATTTTTGAAAAATATCTCAATCGTACATCTTTTCAATGAAATAATATTGATAATGGGCTCACTAAAGTACGTAAACATAAATTTAAATGAAACCATCTGTTTATTTAAAGGAAAGATGTGCTTATATAAATTTAAGCATTTCGATTATTTAACAAATAGCTCGAACAGCTTTGTTATAATAATTTTTATTCTAAATAATAAAGCAAATTAAAAACTCTACAATTTTTGCATACTACCATATCGAATTTATCAATCTTATTTCTTAATAAAGTATAATGAATAAATTCTTTTTCGAGCAAATATTTGTTTTTTACTTTTGATATATCATTGTTAAAGAACAAATGACACACCACATACAAATGTTAGCTATTTTTCTTTATCCTTCAGGTATTTGATAAATGAATAATCAGTGAAAATTATGAAGAAAATACGTTTTCATCGCATGGCTCGATACTTGATACTCGATACTCGATTTTAGTGATAGTGATGCGAGTTCTTTGATTTTTCGTATCTCAAATTCTATGAATCGAAAGAGCAGTAAATGTCCAAAAATACGATATTGTGTTATTTAAGTAATTAATTATTCAGATTCAAGTGCTATTCAATCATTCTAAGCAGCTCGTCATACGCGGTTGCATATCGCTTGGCGTCAAACTGCCACACATAAAAATTCCCCGATATCGCAGAAGTTATCGTCACTTCAAATACTTCAATGAGAATATGCCATAAAGTTCAAAAGAGACTCACTCTCGCATATCTTCGTGATCGATGGGACGAAGAAATCGTCGCAGACGATGGCCAACAGAAAGAAGGAGTAAATGGCTGTGATGAAATGTATGATAATGTAGCCATTTTGACGCTGTTCACGTGTAAATCCATCGCTCGGGAACTCGTGGATCGAGGGTGGAGTGCAGTTTCTTGGGAGATCGAGCACCGGCGTATTCGTATCGTTCACCTGCAGTAGCTTCCTCGAGGTACCTTGAAATTCCAAATATTTCTAATCAGTGTAAAGCGAGCTCGAGGAGATGGACTGAATTCACTTTACGAATTTCCGGTTCGACTGGTACATACGGGTCAATGACATTATGATTTTTAACGAAATCGTGTATATAAATAATCTATAAATTATGGCTTATGTTATTAATTATAGTTTGTAATATTTGAGCCATTTGTTTATATATTTGGAATTGTATAATATTAGGGCTCGAAGAAACTTTTTGCGTAGTTCCTGCATTGTTTTTTTTTCTTCGATACCAAGCACTTTTTGAAGTACGATTATTAGTAAACAAAAATTTAAAAGGTAATTTATGTGTATTATAAATATAATAAATGTGTATTATAAATATTATAAAATAAATTACGATAATTCTGTGTTTATAAATAATAATCTTCTTACTATTTTGGCTATTTCTTGTTTTTATTTACCAACATTGATTATAATATCGATAATCTTCATTATCATTATCCCATACATTAATTTAATAAAATATCAATCTTTTCTAGTAATAAAACATTTGAATTCAAATAGTAATCTTTAAATTTCTTCGATATTCTAATTAAATTACGGTTCTTTTATTCGTACTTTTTATTTTTATTTTATAATGAGTAATATATATATATATATTTTTTTTTTAACATGTTATAATGCGAGTATTTCAATGAATATCTGGAAAGTGAAGATAAGGATCAATCAGTCATCCGATATGATAGCCGATTAGCTGTTATGACGTAGAAGATTTGACCACTGGATTGTTATAGAAATATAATGAAATACTTCGCAATAAAAATACTTCGGTCTTTTAGTTAGATTAATGTTATACTAATATTATATTAAGTTATAATAACTATTAATTCATCTTAATTTTTTGTAATTCAATTTATTCACATAATGCAGGCGTACAAGTAAATGAATATTGTGAAGAAATGAAGATCGCTATATTCGTTGCATTTACTTGACAATATATTTTATTAAATAATTTCCTATGTAGCTTAGATATGTTTTATATGGACAAACTTTCCAACAATTTTTTAAAAATTGTAAATAAAAAAGTTGAAAATATTATATTATAAACGCGTTAATTTATGTAAACAATTATTAAAAATTAATAAAGTAAATGATCATAAAACTGTTTAAATCTTAAAGTTGTAAACATATTTCTAAGAAACATCGAATAATTGTATAAGAATATATAACTTTATCAGAAGTTTCATGAATGTGGAAGAAAAATTTACATAATGTAATTTAATGTTAATGTTCCTTAAGAATTATACTTTATATTATACTTTTCACCCATTTCATTAGAGATTCGGGGTGCAAATTAATTTTCAATGTCATTATATGTATTTCCTTGATTACTTTGTGTAGATTAAATTCGTGTAGAAAAGAGAAGTTAATAATTATTTTGTAATTTATGTCTTACTTACTTTTAATGATAGCTATTTCTTAAAACTATACTTGCAAAAAGTTTGTTTTATTTTACATATATAATATGTGATATTGTTTAAATAAGTCATAGAAACTAATTCGTTTAGAATTATATAGTTTTAATAATAAATTTTTATTTTCTTTCATGACATTGTATTTTTCTTTTATGAAAATTTCATTAATAAAAATGGGAATCATTCGTTAAAAGTGTTTATTGAAGCTCTGTGAGTTAAAAATTCATGTATACTCGTAATAATCTTTGAAAATCCCGTTAATCTTGAATTAAGTTAAATTTTTAATATAAAGTTTTTAATAAAAAACGAATGATGTGTGTAGATATTTTAAATAATAATCGCAATCTTATCTGAAATATGTTTTTTTATTTTTTAATTTAAAAACAATGCATGCAATATCTAATGCAATGAATATCTTTAATAAAAAAAATCTAAAGATAATGTATTAACATTAACTGTGATATTTTCATTTAACTATAAAGAATAGTTTATAAATTAATCTGATAAAACTTAGACATTTTTACCGATGCTTTTAAAAAATGAAATACAGTAATAGAATTATTATATTATAATTGAGTAATTTAAAATTAACTTTATAAAACAAAAAAGTAAATATATCTGATTTTTTAATCGAAATTCAAATATAAAGAATTAAGGTAATTAGGAAAATTGTAATTAAAAAGTTTTCGGCTTTCAAAGGCATTTTTGTTAGTGAATATGAAAAAATTAATTATTAAATTAAATTCCTGTTGACTATAAATCAAGTGAATAAAGAAGATAATCGAGTGTTTGTTAAAATTTAGTTATATCATTTGCATTCTTACATAAAAATTAGAATCCTTACACATTGTTTTTCATAGTTTAAATAATAGTTTAAAACAAGTTTTTCCTATTGATTGTAAATCTTCATCATTATTAAATAGACCGAAGATTTTTTATTTTTTAGAAAATTGTTTAATCGACTCTGATCTTATACCATGAATTATTTATGAAAAAGTAAATATTATTATTATTTTTTGTACACGGTTGTCAATGTTGAAGAAATATTTTTTGTCTCGTATGCTATTTATTTTATATATTGTATCGAAGAAATATATGAAAAAAGTTATTCCATATTTTTTCTAATAATTCAAAATTAATATATCACGTGCATCATTAAATTGATTTAACAATTCCGCAGCTACGAAATTTCATTAAATTATTTTCTTTATTACTGATAATTAATATTTTACAAAAATTAAGTAAAATGAGTATTGTTTGTGAGTTGCCAATTATGAATTGGCAAATTCATATATCATATTATTAGTAATAACGACTTTTATCATTTATATTCTGAGAATTCACGTTCTGCTCTAATACGAAGAATATTATTTTGCAAAAATGCAAGTGTCACTTATCAAATATTATTCGCAACAGCAAGCAACAAGTATCGACAATTGTCAAAATGCTCATTACAAAATGTGATGGTTAATAATATTTTGCAATATAGCTTGACGCACTCGATATCCAAATTTATGCGGCTAGTTTCTATGTTCTACCGTCGCTCGCCAAATCTGAATCAACGCAATGCAAATATCCTGAGAGAATATCGAAGGAATGTGGAGCGATTCGAACGAGGAGGATACCGAGAAGAATTGGCGGTCTTCGGCTCCCCGGAACTTACTGATAAAACTCGGCTCGCCGCTTAATCCAGCGCTCGTGTCTCCAGGCACGAGAGCCGCGAGGCCCGAAAACAAGCAGTAGAGGGTCGGTATTGCCAGTACCTGGACCAACCGGATGCCGAGAGTTTGCCCCCTCCTGCCCATAGCCTGCCAAGCTTCTCACGGGCTGCTGGGTGCCCTTGGCTTACTCGATATCGCGCGCTACCACGAGCTCAGCCGGTCTTTCACCCTGGAGGTCTTTGTCTTACCAGCTCGTCGGCGCTTAAATCTCGGGCTCCGATTGCGAACTCGTCGATGACGGCGGAGGCGCTACGCGATACTGACGACGGGAGCTCGTCGCGAGCGGCCGTTGGCAATTTAAGGGCGGCTCGACGAGTCCTTATCGCGCCTCGGCTGTCCGATAAGATTGCGCGAGGAGAGACACCAGGGCGAGTCAGGTAGGAGCGTGCGGCGAGTGACGCCGTGGCCGAAACGCAAACAAAAATGTGCGGCGCCGCGAGAGGAAAATTTTCACGCGCCCCCGTACGGAGGAGTACGTTTATCGCCTCGGACGTCTCGAACGAAGAGAAAATTCACGGGAGCGCATTTTTTGTATGATCGGGTTGTCGGTGAGAGGAGGGAAGATGTAGCGGTGGCGGTGGCGAGAAAGGCCTCTGGTTATACGACTGGACGGTGAGAGGGAGGAAGAGAGAGAGAGAGAGAGAGAGAAGACGAGACGAGACAAGACGAAACGAGACGAGACGAGAGTTAGAAGCTTCCGCTTGACGAGTGGATTGTTTTGTCGAAAAATTTATAATCTCATTTTTGTATATTAGGTTAACTTTTCAGATCAATTTTTCCTTTTTTTACGCTCTCCCGAGCTTTTATGACATATTTGAAATTAAAATGCTTTGCTTTAATGAAAGTACGTTCGATTGGGCATTATTTTAATACTTTGGATGAGCATTTAAGCTTTTACGAGGATAGACACTACATTGTTTATAATTTTCATCTAAACAATTTTAAAATATTTTTTATTTATACACTTAATAAACATTGTTTTTATAAGTATATGTTGTCTATTTAGAAACTTTGAAGAGATGTATGCTTTAATATATAAAACAGAGCTAATAATTATTTACGGTGCAAAATTTAATTTTCTCATAATTTTAATATAAAAGTCTAATTAATTAATATATCAAAATTATTGAGGAAATTTATTTTGATTGTTAATTTTGAAGTTGATTATTTATCAATAGAGATTTTATATTGTTTTATATATTAATAAAACTATATAAACATTGTTTGAAATGTATATTGATCATAGCGAATTCTGTCTATGTACGTTACAAATTTATTATTTATTATCAATGAAATAAGATTACATTCTATTCCTTGTACGAATACTTTTCTTTACCGCTTACTTACTAAAAATATATTATATAAAAACTTTTTAGAATAAATTCTTCAAAGCATTCACCTTAAACAATGAAATAATAACTTCTAACAATAATATATAATATTTATTTTATTGTAGAAAAAGAATCGATAGTTTATAAAAGAAGTAAGTAATTTTAACATCTCGTTAAATTAATATTTAATTATAGCTTATATCAAAATACATCTCAGTTCAGAATTAAAATATCTAACTTTATAGTTGATTAATTTTGGTTGTATTTTGGTATTATTATGTGTAGTGTATCTCCTATATATTGCGTAATAAATTATGTGACATAGAAGTACAAAATAAGTAATATGGAAATATAATATTGTAATGTTATTGTCAAAATGAATGTTATCTATTTTCAGCTAAATATTGCGTTAAATATTTATATATCTATACTATTGTATGGTATGTATAATTAATTTAATGAAGATTCTTTTCCATAATAATGTATTGCATTAAAAGCTATTTTAAATATTGATAAATCTAAATATCTAATTGGATATATATTATTTTTAATGTATATCAAACTGTCGCGGTTATTTCTTTATTGAATACTTCCAAATTTTACACATGATTATACGTAAAACGTTTGTTAATACTGATGCAAAGATAGAATTTACAAAAAATAATATAAATTTAATACATAGACATTACTACATACGACGATTGTTTTTTAAAATTTTACAAATAATTATAAAATAAGTACTATAAAGCGAATATTAAAGAATTTGATTTGATTTGATTTTCTAAGAGAAATATGCAGTACTTTTAATATGCCTAGTAAGCAATATAATTTATCAAATAGAATAGAAAAGACGGGACACGTTGAAATTAAAATTTGCTAAGTTATTGTCAACCAATCGCAACACCATCATTAATTCGATACAAATTATTATCGCGATGTATCTACTATAATAAAATTATCATTATAATGATATTACTTGTAAGATAATTGAAATATTATGTATAAATTACGTATGTATTACATTTTGATGTTATTATATAATAGAAAAATAAAAAATGTAAAATTTATTTTACCATTTAATTAATTTAAATTGTTTTTAAAATTAACAATGAATTAAATCATATTTAAAAATTTCTCTGCTCTAAAAGCTATTCTTAATGCCATTGTAAATATAATTGAATTATTATCATTATTAATATAATCATCGACTTTAAGTTACAAAAAACTAAAAATCATTGTCATTATTTATGAATTAATTTAATTAGGCGTCCAAAGTAATCGAAAATTGGCCGAAAAACGAGATCACTTATCGATCCACGACGTCCTTACATGTCAGGCTCACTAATATCTGGAATAAATAATCGAACACTCCTCTGGCCTCTGCAAAGTAAGAAAGAGAAGAAGCGACGATAATGGATGCAGTCATGGCTCAGCAATTCAACGGGTCATATCACGCGACACATGGATGGAAAAAACAAAGCTCGCAGCATCATCGAGCTGCTGCTCATTTTCCCGCTTCGTAATGACGATTCACGAACGATTCTCGATCGATAAAGGGATCGCGACACGCGTGCCCACGCATCAATCTCACGTTCAAATTGGCAAACTCAATCCCCTCTCTTTCTTACCGTAACCATTCACGTAACAGAGTGCAGCAAACTTGGAATACAGCAAATTTGAAATAAGAGCAAACTTTACGTATTTCTCGCTAAGTAAATAGAATAATAATACGAGTGGAAAGGGAGGCGTTGCGCTTTGCAAGTTTGTCGTGCGCCGAATGTGCATTGGGTTTGTTTAGAGAAAAGAAAAAAAAAAAAGAAAAAGAGACAAAGAAAACCCCCCATAATCAAATTCAAATGAAGTTTTATCGACAAATTAGTGACGTTGACTTAGAAGCCTAAGCTATATTTTCGTATTTCAGATTTTTTTTTTTGTTCTATATACTGGAACGAATTATTCGCTATACATTGAGCATCTCCTACGAAATGATAAATGTCCTTGCCCTGCTATTTCAAAGCTCCATAGTTCGATTATTAATTACTTGTTTTCTACCATAACAGTGGTTCAAGCCTAATTACAACTCAGAAATAGTGAATACTGCACTGCAAATTTACGGAATTTACTTTATCATTAAATCGCTATACACGTCCAAACGTACATAAAAATCATTATTACATTAATCAAGCTTAAATTAAAGCAAATTTAATATCCACGTACAATTAACTAAAATTCTAATGTTAAAGTAAATAATCACCATTTTTATTGCCGCTCGGTCAAATCAACGTTATTACTTGTATTAATAATTGATAAGTGACTATTTATTTTTATTTATTTTTATTTATTTTTATTTATTTTTTAATGATTTAATACATTAATCTTTATAAATAAATTATTTTGAATTATTTATAAATTATTCAAACATCAATGTGATTTACATCTTTAAGGTATTTATATTTATTTTTAATATTAGCTTTAAAAAAAAGCTAATAAAAATAATATTTATTATAAAAATTGATATATTCTGGTGAAATGTCTTTTACACCACTTTTTTTACAACTCGATTCAATTGACAAATCAATTTTCGTTAATCATGCTACGCCGTTTAAAAGAAACTTCTGATCACATTAAAGGAGTTTCCTTTTACATTTTCTAATCGTATATGCAATCAAATCCCGAAGTTTCGATAAATGTCAGTAATCCAAATATGTATAAATTTTTGCAAAATTAAGCAACATTTCAGCAAAGTAATATAATATAAAAATATATTATTAAAGCATAACAATGTGTGGAAATACGAAAACTCGTTAAATAAATGTTACCTCTGTTACTCACTCTCGGAAGATTTACTTCTTCATTATGTAAAAAAAAAAAAAAAAAAAAAAAAAAAAAAAAAAAAGAAAAAAGAAAAAAAAGTCACCACTAGTGATTGACAATCGAAAAACAACAAACTGCAGCTCTCTTAAACGGGAGCTTCCGTTAATAATAATACACCGATGAAGAATTGTTGGCAAAAAATATCGCCAATTATGTAAATAAAGTTAGCGTAATGATAGGTACCTACGGGTACGTGTAATCGGTTGCTTTCGAAGCTAACGACCAGCTGCAGCTTCACAGTGGTAATAGAAGAAGAGGATGAGGGGTAAAGGGTACGAGGGAGCGAAGGAGACAGACACAGTGACAGCGGGGAGGGGGAGAGAGAGAGTGAGATGGAGAGAGGCTGGACAACGAGGGTCGTGAGGAAGGGGCCTGGCAGATTCAACAAACGTTGTCCGACTTCGGAGTAGTTGTTAATGTAGTATGTGTGTGACAACGGGATTGACAGCATGGATTCGACGTTTAACCTAGGAGGAGGTTGGTCTCTCTCTCTTTCAATCACTATTTCTTTCTTCTTTACTCTCTTCTTCATCCTCTTCTTTTTTTTCTTTTTTTTTTCTTTTTTTCTTTTTTTCTTTTTCTTTTTTTTTTTTTTTTTTTTGATTAAAGCTCTATCTATTTGTCATACGACTAATTTTCACGTAAATGTGTACATGTGTGCACTGAAATCTGCATCGAGGATAATTGGTTCGCGGGTCTTTAGGCGGAAAAAAGAGAAACCAGAAGCGCGTGCTTTACTGCCATGCAACTCTTCATTTTCTTACGTTTAATTACTTAACTTCCTCAAAAATAAGCTGTCGAATTCATCTCTCTCTCTCTCTCTCTCTCTCTCTCTCTCTCTCCTTCCCTCCTTTCTTCTATATCGATGAGCTTAACTTTTTTCATTATTCTTATATCAGTTATTTTCAACAACCACTGGTGAATATATTAAATGAAGTATCTTCGAAAAAAGTGTTGTTAATGAATCGTCTCGAAATATTAGAAGAATGCAATGGAATTTGTATATGTGCATACGTATTATATGAATATATACATATATATATATATATATGTATGTGTATATGTATATATATAT